TTCTCACAAAATGTTGCTAGCGAAACTACAAGTACAAATGTATGCTCTTAAATTTAGACTTTTTGAGATGTCATCTAACTCAATACTATTTAAACCCAAAGAAACTTAACCCTAAATATCCCAAAACTTTTACTCTTAAGTTGTTTTCTTTAGTTGCTTATAATAAATTCATGGCATTATTTTTGGGTAATTTGCCTCCAAGATAACTCTACCACAAGACTTCAAGCCATATGCTATACTCCATAGCACATAAACTTTGCCATAGTGCGCTCCACCTCCAATATGCCACCTAATCGTGATATAACTCTAATTCATAGGTTTAAGCAAGGTGTGAATGTGCTCTAGCTCAAGGCTAGAGCATGTTACCTTGCTTCCCATGTGAGATAAGTGCATTGGCTCATCTTTAAAAAAGTCTTAGCTTTGCTATAAAGACTAAAGAATTGGGAGCTGGTTGCTCTAGGACTGTTCCAAGTCGCTCCGGGCCCCTGTTCCTTCGCTCCTTGGGCTATATGCTCGGGAGTTGCTCCGTGGTCCGGTTCCATCACTCCTTGGCATCACGCTTGGGAGTTTGGCACCGTTCCTTCGTTCAGTGGCCCAACGCCCTGAACCTCGGGTTCCTGTGGACACGTGGCATGGACACGTGGCATGTGACATGTGGCATCTGTCACGTGGCACAAAGAGGGTTTAGGTTCCGCTTCGTGGTGTTATCCTATGGTAAATCACCATAGGATAAAGGGTCAAAACCACGTGCGCTACAACTCCCAAGTCTTGTCATATCTTGTCAAAATGCTGAAATTGAAGATTCACTCACCTCCAAGAACCTTAGCTATGCCATAATGTAAAGTCACTAAGATTTTGTAGATCTTGGATATACCATGGAACTTCAGCCACTACCACATGGCACAACTTAGGGTTTTGTGTGTTACAATTATTTTAAAACTAACTCATTAAATGACTTAATCTAATCATTTAAATTTAACCACACAAATTGCATATAATCATTAGGGTTCAATTGTACAGTTTTAAGGTCAACCCCCAAACATGTATAGCCTATTTTTTTAAGTTTATTTCTTTTGGAATTTATTACTAGGTTGGAAGTTATGACAAAGGCACATTCTTCTTGGGTGCTCGCCACTTAAATATACATATGTCATTTAAATCTTTGATTTGATGGGTTAATTAGTTTGATTGTGAGATTTCATGCTCGGTGACTAGATGTTTTGAGATTAGGACAATTGTAAAGGACCTAATTATGTTTATGAACATAAAAATTCCAAAATTATATTATTCTGTTTATTCTTTCTCTTTTTTATACTTTTCATTATTTTTGAAAAGCTCTTGGTTTTTCTTTTTCTGGAATAACTTAGGTACACACTTTCATTTGCTCTCTAGATATAAATAGTGATTACATATTATTTTTACATTACTATATAATTTGATGTTTATTATATTACTTTACTTTAAAAGTTTGTAAGTCAATTTTAAGGGCACAACTTTACAGAAACTTCTATATGGCAAGAGATGGCTATAATGCTTAAAATGTCACTCTCCAACAGTATTGATAGAGACTTTTTTACTCTAAAGCCTACACAAAAGTTTTCAAGTTTATCTAGTTATCATATATTTTATTTAACTTTCAAAATATTACCAAGTTAGTCAAATGTTGCTACTGGAATTTCTAGATAGCGATAAATCTCTTATATGACCATGATCAAGCTTCTCTATTTACAAACTCTAAACAATAATAAACAATCAAATCTCAGAGTATTATTTTTGGTATACCAAAATGTGTCTTTGTTGTAAAAACATTGTTGTAGCTAACAAGGTTGGTGACACACTATCCTTCTAACCATGATATCATGACCAATAATTTATGATATACTACAACAACTATATACTATTACCCATTTATGAAAGGCTAAAAAGATCCAGGTATAATTAAATACGTATATAGGCTATTTTTGTTGGTGAGGGTCTCAAGAGTTTATCCATTATTTGGTATATGCTAGATAAATCTATTTAAGATTATGTTGACTTGTTTGTTTATCTTACGTAGATAAATCTGATTCTATCAAAGTATATTTAATAAATTCAAAATGATGTAGACAAATAAGTCACAAACAACTTTTGACAATTCATTCCACAAGTTGTATGTAGGAAGTCAGAGTTTAGCTATATAAGGCCAAAGCTTTAGGTAATATAGATTATAAGCAATCAACAAACAATCAGTATGAAGGTGCTCAAGGCTAGTACATATGCAAGTTTATTTATCATTATTATCATTTCTTTAACTATTAAAAGTGTGGATGCGGTCACCGCCATTACTACCTATGCTGCACCAGGTTGTGCTGGACTAGCTAATACATATTCCAATTGTGGTGTGTGCCAGACTTTAGCAACAGGAGTTGGAGGCTATAAAATTGACTTTGATGGAAATCCTATGCGGATTTACACTGTACCAGGTTGTACAGGTGAATCCCCAGTGATAACTCAAGATCAAGAATCATGTGGTATCGCTAGCCTTCCTATTCTCAGCTTTGTTATACGCTGCCCATAGGTTGGATGAGATGTGATACTTAATAAATAAAGTTGGTTGTTGCTCTTGAGCTAGAGTATATTACTATTAGCAAATTTTGAGCAATTTCTTGCAAGTATTCACTAGGATGCTTTAATGGCCGACATACTTCTTCTAAATAGACAATCTTGATGGCTTGTGAGGTGTAGGGCTTTGAGATTGTAATTATCATGATTATTGCTATGGTGCATGGATATATGTTGAATTATGAGAAATTCACATGTAGCTACTACAATATAACATTACATATAACAGTGACTTCAATAAATAATAGTGATGAGCTTTTCGGAAAATAATTTAATATATCTAACTATTAAAGAGACATCTAAGAAATATGCAATCTATATGAAACTTAATTCATATTTTTTGAGGCAGAAAATAAGTACCAATTAGATAGCTAATTTATGGTGCTTACAATTGCATGTGTAAGCTTGAAGATGTTTTAAGGATCAAACAAACTCTACAAGTGTGTTCATGAAATGATTCAATGAGAGTTGGATGGTTTTCTTGAAAATTCTAAATTTACAAAAATACCAGATATAGAAGGCTCATAATTCATTCTAAAGAACTAAAAGTTAAGACTAATTGAGAAACTTCCAGTAGTTCATTATAAATATTTGTAATGAAAATATACTCTTTTTTTAGATTTTACATATGTAATTTACCAATACATATGTTACTCCTTTTTAAGTTTTCCTATGTTGTAGAGAACAATCAACTCAACTTGGATATTTTTTTTGTTGGTGAGTTGTTTTTCACCACTTGAGTCCCTCACCAACAAAAATAATATCTACATAAGATTAAAAAAAAAAAGTCAATATAATCTTGAAATTTGAGAATAAGAATCTTATTCAAAAAATTTCAAGATTATATTGACTTTTTTGTTTATATTATATGAATAAATCTATTTGTATCAGAGTATATTTAATAAATTCAAAATATTATAGACATATAAGTTACAAAAAACTTTTGAAAATGTATTCCACCAGTTGCTAGTCTTGAGCACCTGATTGTTTGCCAATCACTTATTACCCAAAGCCTTGGCTTATATAACTAAACTTTGACTCTTGATATACATATGTGAAATTTCATTTATCATGGTTATCATCACATTAGCTCCCAGAAGTGTAGGAGGGGTCATCACTATTATTATATATGTTCTACCAAGTTGTGTGGGCAAACCCAGAATCCTTGAATTCAATAGAATATGGGAAAGTATGTAGGAAAATGAAAAAGGTCAAACTCCGAAAAATCCCACAAGAAATGGCAAATATGAAGTTCAAGACACACAAACAATTTGCAGCATACTGCATCTTGCAATTGCTACCTAATATCATGTTCCTTGGGCGTGTAAAAAAGTTTTCTACCTCCTCCACATCTTGTGCAAGAAAAGAAAATGGCAAAAAGCTCCAACACTAATGTTAGAGGAAACTTATAAGAACTCACTCCCACATGCAAACAGTCCACAACAAAATATAGCTGGGATTTCTCTCTCATTTTACTTTACCTTTAAGAATCTGTAATCACTAAGATAGTTCCCAAAGGAATATATATATATATATATATAGAGTTAGTCTCAATTTTTCTATCTTTACAATGAATTATTGCCTTTGAATTGCTCCCTCCTAAATTTTATTCTTTGTAAACATAAAATTTTCAATAAAACTATCCAGCTCTTCACTAGATCATAAACATCCTCTTTGGCCAATAGTAATATCTTTAGTCCATTGATAAATATCACAATGTGAACTTGAGTAAGATTTTGAAAATACACACTTCTAGAGTTTGTTTGATCCCTAAAACATCTTCAAGTTTATACATGCAAGTCTCAACACCACACTGTATGTAGTAATAAGCATATTTAACTGATATTTATTCTTTGCCTAAAATAATATGCATTAAGCTTCATATAGATTACATATTGATTAGCACACTTTAGCTGTCTCTTTAACAATTAGATATATTAAACAGTATTAGAGTATTTTTACAAAAAATCATCACTACAATTTATTGAAGTCACTGTTACATATAATATCATAGCTGCTTGTGAAGAATCAAATGAATTTGCAACTGCTTGCTTAAAGGAATTGAGATTTAGAATAACAGTTTAATCTCTTATGATTCAACACATGTTCATGCACCACCAAACATAATCCTAACAATGGTCATGATAATTATTGTATGGCGGGCAATCAAGGCATCCTACACTCATAAGCAAGTGCTTAATTGTTAATGACAATATGCTGTGATCCAAAGTACTTACCAACTCTATTTAATAAGTTTCACATAATAGCATATAATGAAGTTAAAAATAGGAAGCCTTGCCACATTAAATTCATATGGGTTAACTTTATAGCTTCTAACTACTACTGTTAAAGTATAGGCACAACTAGAGACGCAGGACATTACGGTCACATTTTTCTTTGGCATTTATCCTCTCGAATATTCTTGTGAAGCGGCAATGGGCTCTAGCGCTAGGGTTTTGTGGCCGGGAGCTATGGCGGAGGTGCATTCTTCTTGGGAATTTCTGAAGCTCTTGCCGGAAGGGTATGCGCATTTTGTTTCCAATCCTCGATTCAGTGGGTTGATTAGTCTGAAACGGGACGTAGGATTTGTGATTGCCGGCCCGCCACTGCTGCTGGATTCCGACGAGGTTTGCTTTCTGGTGCTTTTAAAGAAATGGTACTGATTTTCCAATGGTTTTAGCTCCCTATTGCCTCGATCAGCGGATTGATTGGAGATTGCGCTGCCGGGTGGATAGAGGAGCTTGATCCTGGCCATGCAAGAGACTGGTTTCTATCGAGAAAATCCAGCAGCAACACGAGACTTGGTACGCTGAAAGTCGATGGTAAACCATGACGAGCGTTCTCTGTTTCTTTTTCTTTCTTTCCAGGTGATCACTTTGCAAAGTGTGTCGAGTTCGTGCTTCGTTTCGCTCCGTTGGAGGGAATCGACTCCATATTCTACTCCCAGCAAGTTTTGGAGCCCGTCACAGTTGACAAGGATGAAGAAATGGTATCCACACGACTTGAAGGGGTTGATGGCGAGCAAACTGAGAACGGTGGTGACAAGTACGAGAGGAGACGAGCAAGAAAACTGTTGCGTAGGCTTCACAGGAAAAGGATCTCCGTGAACACCGTTGGAGAGTTTGATTTTCTCTTTCGTCTCAAGCACCCGCAGCCATCTACGGTCGTGGAGCACTGGGAAGTCTCCGTGAAGTTTTTGCTCTACGTTGGGCCTTGGGAAGCCTTTGGTCTACAAACTCCCGAAGCCGCCAAGTGGAAGCAACTCAGGTCAGAACAGCAGATGGAGGAGATCTCCACCACCACCACCGCCTCGAGAAACGAGCGGTTTCTCGGGTTTTTTCTGGGGCCTCACGTCGGAGAAACTCTGGCGGACAGGAAGAATCGACTCAAGAACCAGCTCACTCTGCCGACGAAAGCTGCGGCTCTGGGGACACTAGAGTCGCTTTTTGGAAGTGGTGATATCCGAGTGAGCTCAAGAGCTCTGCTGCACGGCTACCTCTTCTACGAGCCTGCGCTGTGGAAGTTCCTGTGCACAACGAGCAGTGACTTTCGAGGCAGCACGTATGGAGACTCGACTGTGAACTCTAGGCACTGGAAAGGCTGGTGGATGAACGTGGAAGGATTCCAAACTTTTGCGTCGGCTCCAGAGCGCGTGACGAGCAAGTGGTACATCGTTCCAAAGATGGAGTGGCTTTCTCCGGTGGTGATCCGTGAAGACGAGGAGAGGTTTCTCCACGGTGCGCTCAGCAGCGATGGACTGGTGGATATGGCTGCCAAAGTCGCCGAGGAAGCGAGCAGGATGGGCAGGGACAGGATGAGACGCTTCATGGTGGCGGAGATTCGTCGGCAAAGCGATGAGTGTCACTGGATTTGGAGTGAGTCGAGCAGGGGTTTTATCGTCGAGGATTCCTGGCCGGATACCAAAGCTTACAGTCCTCACGGCTTCGTTATGTCTTGGGGTCCGTGAAGCTGGAAAAGAAGAAGAGTGGAAATCCGCTACTCCATCCATACGATGTTCTCAGGAGCTGGGAAGATTTCCGATGCTTGGAGATGATCACAAGAGTTTGGAAGTTTTCCGAAGATCACAAGAGCTTGGAAGTTTTCTTGGATGATTTGATCAACCAAGAACTCTCTCTTTTTACAGTTCGAGCAGCAAAGTTTTTGATCTTTGGGAAAGATTCCACTGGCTGAAACGCACTCAAAAAGTCCTCATTAACGTGGGAGGAATGATGAGCTGGATCCAACGGCCAGCGAGGCTCCACGTTCCCGCCATTTATACCGGGGCTAGGGTTTTCTCCTCCTGGGCCGGCACGCGACGGGATGATCCTCCATTCGAGCTCGCAGATCTGAGGCGCCGCGCTCCTCCACCAATTCCCGAGCTGATCAATTGGAGCGCGCGCCTCGCGGATCCGAATTTGGTGGAGGAAACATGGCGTTCGCAGTGAGGCAGCAAAAATGTAAGTCTTGCGAGAAGACAGTGTATCTGGTAGATCAGCTAAGCGCCGATGGGGTGCTCTATCACAAGGCGTGCTTTCGATGCCAGCATTGCAAGGGAACCCTCAAAGTAATGTTTTTGGCCATCGTTTTCCCATTTCTTCTCCTTGTTATTTTTTTTTTTTTTTCCTTTTCAGCTTAGCAACTATGCATCGTTGGAAGGCGTCTTGTATTGCAAGCCACATTTGGAGCAGCTCTTCAGAAAGACTGGAAGTTTTGACAAGAGTTTCGACAGCGGTAAAGTCTTTTTCTTGATGAAGAAAAATGGCATTCTTATGGTGTTGCTTTCCTTCCACTCTTTTCCTTTGCAGTTGGAACGCCGAAAAATTCGCTCAAACAAGAACGTGAACGTGAAACGGTTCGTCTTAGTCGTTCGTGACTTTAGACATGGAAGAAAGAAAAGCTTCACTGAAAACGATAACTTCTCCTTCTGTGCAGGTCCCCTCGAAGCCAGTCGTGAGCAAGCTGAGTAGATTGTTTTCTGGAACTCAAGAGAAATGCGTCAGCTGCTCCAAGACGGTGTATCCTCTCGAAAAGGTGAGAAAGAAACTTCGAGAAAAGCCGTGGAGCTAAAGCTTTTCTCTGCTGGTTTCCAGGTTAGCGTGGAGGGTCAATCTTATCACAAGTCTTGCTTCAAATGCACGCACGGAGGTTGCGTAATCAGCCCCTCAAACTACGCGGCCCTGGAAGGTATGCTGTATTGCAAGCACCACTATTCACAGCTCTTCATGGAGAAAGGAAACTACAGCCAGCTTACCAAAGCAGCGTCGATGAAACTCCCGGCCAAAACGGAGTTGTGAGTGACGATTTGATGATGCGACTGGGAAGACTGGAGCAGGGATTTGGAGATGAGTCACTTTAATCCATTTGAAGTGGTCTCGGATTTGTTTGGTAAGCCCGATTCGTGCGTAGCTTTCTTCTACTCTCTTTTTCCTGTTTGGCTTTCGCGATAATTGTCCCGCTATAGATTATGACAGACACTCAGCACATGGAGCGAAGAGAAAAGAACGAGAAAAAAATATTTGCCGAGATCTCACAGCTGTGGTGTACTTGTCACTTATTTATTTTGTGGAAGTTTCCATCTAAAACACAATAAAGAGATTGGTGTGTAGGACGGGACACCTGTCAGATGAATGAATGTCTAGATTGTGAAGTCTACGTCTTGGCTTTAACTTTTATTGACTAGCTGTGGATTTTAGAGCGTGAGACTTGGTCGAGAGGCATAGTCTAGTTCTCTTTTCATTTGCAAAGGTAGATATAGAAACGTAACCGCTAGCTTGGTCGTGATCAACGCGTGTTTGTGGGTTTTTTTTACAGACTTTGAAGACTTGCCACTGTATATAAACCACACACTTTCCTCTGGCAGATTTATCGTCTCTCTTCCATCACAACTCGTTCGCTCGTTTCTTTCTCCTTTTCGCTCTTCTCAGTTTCCAGAGATCATCTTTCCTTTGGTCTAGATCTTGATCTTCTTGCTATGGAGTACAAGAAGTTCATACTGGTGGTGCTGATCTTGGGCGCTGTCGCAGGGAATGTGTTTGTGAGTGCCGCCGACCCCGACCCGCTGCAAGATTTCGACAGCCCGGGAGCTCTCAGCGACTTCGTGCTGCGAGATGTGTTCAAGAATGGCGACGTGAGCAATGGACCTGGTGGCCTTCGCGCCGCGATCAACATCACACTCTTCCCAGGAATCGAGTACTTTGTCTTCCGCTTTGCCTTTCGTTCTGTTAGCTCGAGTTGATGGAGGTTGTCCTTTGTTTTGCTTGCAGGTCCCAGGGGATAACTTATGTACACTTTAACATGGTTCCCTGTGGAGTCAATCTGCCACACACGCACCCTCGAGCGTCAGAGCTCCTCACATTGGTCTCTGGCGGGCCTCTTCAAGTTGGATTCGTGGATACAGCCGGTACGAAATCTCTCTCTCTCTCTCTCTCTCTCTCTCTCTCTCTCTCTCTCTCATGCCGTGATTTTTTCCAGGAGTACCACGCATCAACCTTTTGCACCCGGGCGATCTCACGGTTTTCCCGCGAGGAACGATGCACTTTGAGATCAACGTTGGGACCAAGCGTGCGTTTTACATCTCGGCCCTCAATAGCCAAAACCCAGGAACTCTGGTAAACAAAAAAGCTTCGCACGTTTTTACAATGTTTTCTGATCCTGTTCTTTTTTTTATTATTCTTTCGTGTGTGTGTAGACAAGTGGTGGTGCTCTCTTGATGATCCCGGACAGGTCCTCTGCAACCGCGCTCAACGTAGGGCTGGACATGATCCGGAAGCTCAAGGAGAATATGCTGCCATACACCCCGCAGCTCGAGTTGGCCCCGCCAGCTGTGTGCGTTCCCGGGCGAGACATCACCACCAAGATTTAAAGAAGTTTTTTGTCCTTGCTTTTTACATTGTCATTAAAATAAGCTCCATCTTTTTCTTGAAGCTGCCTTTTCTGCAAATTACTATAAACAAATCCTTTAGGTTTTCCTAACTACTCATTTTTTCGAGCGATGGCAGAGTATGTGTGGGCAAGTGACGCGAGGTTGCTAGGCGCTGGAGCGGACGGAGAGGTAAGGGTTGGGTTCCACCGAAAGACTGGAGACAAAGTAGCCATGAAGAAGATGTACGAGCACGAATACCTTTACGATACCATCATCAACGAGTCGGAGATCCTGGAAGAGGTAGCGCACGACAACGTTGTCAATCTTCTTGGGTTGACCTGCAACAACCAGGGGACATTCATGGTGATGGAGCTCATGGACGGGAGTTTGCGCGATGTGATCTCGTCGCGCAAGCTTGGCGAGCACGACATCAAGGCCGTGATGCGCCAGATCCTGGAGCGCCTGGCGTGGATTCACGCGCACAGAATCGTGCATCAAGACATCAAGACGAGCAACGTTCTCGTCAAAAGGGATGGAGAGAAGAATAAGTTTGTGGTGAAACTGGCGGACTTCACTACCGCGAGGAGGCTGCAGACACGTCCCTGGTCGAACAAGGTCGGGACCCTAACGTTTAACGCTCCGGAGCTTCTCAAGGGTGCCACCAGCTTTGGCACCGCAATCGACGTGTGGAGCGCCGGGTGTATATTCGCGGAGATGCTCCTGGGTAGCAATCCCTTTGACGTGCCCGACGAAGAGGATGGAGACTCGCTCAACTATTTTGTGGCTGATTTTGCCAAGAAGCTGGACATCGATGGCTGTGACATGGGCTATCAAGACAAGCGCCGAGAACGAGCATGCGAGAGGATCTTGGAGAAGATGACGTAGGACGTGAGAAGCAGAATTAAAGACCCCAACGCGGTGGAGCTGCTCAAGAGGATGCTGGCGATTGATACGGCAAGGAGGATCTCGGCACAAAACGCCTTGAAGATGCCATATTTCCAAGAGAAGGCCGAGGACACAATTGTGGAAGCCAGGCGAATGCTTCCGACAATGACGACTGCGAGTGGAAACTTGAGGCCAGCTTGGCTTAAAATCAACAACGCAGCCCCATCAATAGCTACAATGTAAACAATGCTTGTGAAGAATTGCAAAACATTTTATCTTTTTCTCTAAGTAGATCATGCAAAAGCTCAATCATGTTCAAACAATGCTAAAGACTGTAAAGTTTTCGCAAAACTTTGTATTCCTTTTTCTTGGCAAAAAGAATAATTCAAGAAAAAAAGAGAGGGGATCTTAAGATTCATATCAAGAATCTTTTGTATTGTTTGTAAACGATGAACCACTTGTGTTACCGTTGGTGGTGGTGGTGACCCTGGCGGCGGTGGTAACGAGCGCCATCACGGGAGCTATTCACAACACGACCATGACCACCATGACCAGCAGCATTAAGTACTATATCTTCCAAACCATGGCGGCGGGGCGGGCGGCGCCGCTGCTGCTGGGCTCCCGCGCCGCCGGGGCAGAACTCGATGGCGTATCCAGCCCCGGACGCGCAGGTGAAAGTGCTGCTCAGGTCGTCATACGCGTAGCTGTAGGCCTGGGGGCAGTGCTGCTTGAAGATCCGCGAGTACTGCGTGGGCGAGCACGACTGGGACTGGCTGTGCGCGCCGCGGCAGCAAAACGCATCCGTCTGGAACGCCTCGCAAGCGCTCTTGCAGCCGACGACGCGGCCATGGATCGCCACCTGGAGCTCGCGCGGGCAATTGGCGTTGACGTCGCTGTGGCAGCCCACCGCGGGGCAGCGCGCGTCCGAGGGCGTGACGCGGACGGGGAGATTGTAGCCATCCACGAGAGAGACGTCGTAAAAGTCGCGGGCGTCGTAGCCGTTGAGCTTGAACTCGGTGAGCGTCACGGGCGGTATGCCGCCGGCGGCACCGCAGGCGAGGGAGTTGCCGCAGTCGCCCGTCTGGCACGTACCGCGGCCGGTGGCGGTGTCGAAGAGGCAGCCCGTGCGGCCCCAGAAGCGGCCGCCCCAGCCGCGCGGTACGTCGAGCTGCATGGACTGCATGGACTCCAGCTGGGCGCCCAGCTGGGGGAGCTCGCCGCCCTCGCCGCTGATCCACCCCGGCCACACTGGGAATGGGCACGAGTTGTTGATCGCGATCGTCACTGCCCCTGCGAGAAACAATCCATTAGGCTCGGCGCATGGAACTAGGAAGGGACACTCGATCAATTCGAGCGCCATGAAATTCTCTCCTCTGGATCGCAATCTTGAAGAAGAAGCGGGAAGAGAACCAAGATCGAGGATTTCTTTGCTTTTTCCTCTCGGCCAAGAACAAGAAGGATGGGCATTGTTTACCTGCATTGTGGAGGGCGATCGAGAGAAGGGCGAGGAGGGCGGTCGCCGCCATCGACTCCATTGGATCGAGCTGCTCTTTCGAAGCTCGCCGCGCTCGCTGGGATGATCGAAGGAGGAGGAGAGAGAGGATGAGATGATCTTGGGCGCCCTTTAAGGCGAAGGCCAAGAAGTGTCAACAGACAAATAGATGGGTAAAAATTAGGCTGTGAGTCGGTCGGATGAGCGGGCAGGTCTTTTATAGTCAGCGCATTGTCTTTGACAAAAAGCCATGTTGGTGCGTTGCTATTTCTTTCATGGCTCCAGCGTGATCAAACTAACTATAACAAAAGGCCTTGATCATTTGAAACTTTACCCCCTTCCAAAGCAAAAGTATAAACGTCCAACATAAACTCTCAAATAATATTCTAACTAAAAGAGGACTTCTAAAATTTTTAAAAAGTTTTTTAATTGATAAGAAAAAATGTAATCTTAATCATGAGTCTTAAACCTTTAAATTTTAACTTAATGTTGTGTTTTATATATATATAAATCTCTATTTTAATATAATAATTACACTAATCACGTATACTACATTATTTCCAAATAAGTTAAATGGTATTAATATAGTATTTTAAATGTTTTTTTATTTGCTCTCCCTTTTTTTAATTAAGGTAATTAAGAGTTGAGATTATAGTGAGATTAATGCTTGAGATATATCTTTTTAGATTTATGATGGAATGGTTTTATTTTCTTATTGGAAAATGCTATGTTGATCTAATTTTTTTTTATTAAAAAATCTTAAAATAGTATTAATTTTCATGATATTTTGTAATTTTTAACTAATAAACGAATTTCTATCACTATAAGATTTATTTCAAACATTTTAGAATTAGTCAAAACACAGAAAAAACCTCCTTAATAAGTAGTGGTAAAATATAATGAAGCTAAGAATAACAAACACCATCCCTTAGCACTTTATATTTTTTTTATAATCAAGGAATATTCTGATTATTTTAGAATAATTTAACAATTTGTTTTTTTTTCTTGTGTTATCAATAACACTATCACCATGATTAGTGACACTCAAGAACTTTTTAGTATAGTATTTTTGAATAAGTGGATCTTTAAATTTTTTTTTTTACTGTTTTGTTTTGTATGTCTCTGAACAAGTTAAAAAAAATTAAACTTTACTTAAACTTATAAACTTTAGAACAAAAAATTCAAATATTTATTAATACTTTTGGATTAGATATTTCTTCTTGGTTGCATGTCTGCATCATTCTTTCTCATAAGCATCATAAGTGGTAAGTTTAATTTTTAAAAGTTTTTATAAAAGTATCTATATTAAAAATAAAATAAGTTTGATATTTTGTTTTATCAAATAACACAATGTGCTTAAAGTTGATATAATAATGATTGGGAATATCTTCAAGTTAAGTAACACTTTTTTACTTTAAACTTAGCTGAAAAATAAAAAGATTTTGAGTGAAGAAAAATATCAATTGTCTTTATGATGATAATAAAGTTTAGTGAAAGTTTGAAGTTTGCATCTATTTAATGACTTTGTATTAATAATAACTATTGAACTTAGTGTTTGAGTATTATTTCTAGAGCTATGAATTTTTTAATTTATTAATCTATATGATAGAATAAAGATGAATATACTAGGAAGTGTTTATAATTTTAAGAATATACGTTAGAATATCCTAAAATATCTAAATTTATTTTAGGTATACTAGCAGGGAACCCAGCTCCGTTGGGATAGTTAGATGCTAATTCTAAAAAGAGAACAATTTATTAAATCTTGCTTAAGTTCAATATGTAACAGTTTTTACTAAGTGATTGCAACCAAACACTATTTCTTAAATGTTTAACTGGAATAGAATAATACAAGCTTGGACTCAAAGCTTAAAAGAATTATTCAACACATGAAGAGGTGGCTCAATCATATTCCTCAATTTGGTATATTATTTGGGCATTCCAGAGGTAAGAGTAGTTAATGGGATGGTATGGTAAAGGGTTTTTTGGTATAGAATGGCTGGTTTTGCATTTGCAAGCAAGTGATGTGTATTGAAGTATAAATGACTGTATTTTCTGGTGGTCTATGTGTTTGTTCATTATAACATGCTAAATTCTGATACAGTTGATGCATTTGTCATTTATTGTCCACTTGAGAATCATGTGTTGTTGTTCTTTCCCTTTTTTAGTTTTTGTATCTTGACATTCCTTTCTTGCTACAGATAACCATCAAACAGAGCTGATGTTTGCTAGGAGGTGTGTTTTATTTTATTTGTTTTTGCAAGTTCCATGTAACTATAAAACAAAACACAGATAAATATATCAACGTGTAAAAGATTAGAATGGAATCTGCATACCTTAGGTGTCAAGTCCAAGTATATAGAACCTTAGCTTCTCCATGTCTTGGTATTTTTCAAGCTTGCTCCGGATTTTGAATTTGTAAATCTTTGAGCGGATACCATCGATAAGTAGTGAAAATGCAGGGTAGTTCTCATCTCGCATTGTAGCTAGTTCCTTTGTTGACATTCCCACTATTTCCTGTGCAGCCTCTTGAAATGCAATGGCCCACACATGACTGCTACTATCCTCGATGCACATCTTTAGAGCATACTTGAACTCCATGTTGGCAGACTCAAAATTGCAATAATTGCATAACCAACCATCTGCTGTTCGGGTAGTTTTTTTGCCACATTGCCGTGCATTCACGACATTGATGCATGCATTATAGTAAAACTCATCTGTCTTCATTTCCTTCACAGTAGCTATCACTCTATAGATAGGGGAACTCTCTAACACCTTTAACTGCATGTTTGATATCTCTGATAAAGTAGTGGTGCAGCTAACAGTCTGTCTGGATGATGAAGTGCTCAAATGTATGAAGTTAGTGACATTGTAGTACAATGTCATCCATTCTCTCAAATCAGCCACTGCTTCCATTTCCGGTTCAATAAGAATGGTGCTCACACCAATTGCTGAAAGTGATTTACCATTGTAGTCCGATACTTTTCCACCCTTGACACATATTATTGGCTGAACTCCACTGTCTATCTGCTCCTGTATATATGAGCCCTCTTCTTCTGCTTTTAAATCCCAGAGACATAGATCAACACTGTGGCCTGAATCATCACCTAGACACAATGTTCTCTTCTTCACAAAAGTTCCACTGTCACGAGATGTTACTGTAATTGTACCAATCCATATTATGATACCAACCACATCGACAAAAGAGTCCCTTTCCTTCTGACACGCACTTAATATGCTTGTTTTTGCCAAGACAATTCTTGGGAACGTTGCATCCTCATCCAAAGCTGTAAACTCCATACCTTTGTTAGCCTGAATCTCCCATGTCGCTTCAAATGGTGTGTATGCCTGATTGGAACGTCATATTCCACCACTACCAGAAAATGAATACACTGTACCCTGTACAATCTTATCTGACAAAACCAAGGCACAATCGTCAGAGCCAATAATTCTAATCTCTGTTCCCTGGACATCGACAACGTCAAATGACATTATGCATCCAGATCTTTTCGTGTTGAAATGTATCAACTTGTTCTTGTGTGTGACTCTTGCACGGAAGGACCACCTGTAAGAACGGTCACTGATTTCTTTGATGAACACCTCTTTTATGACGGCCTTTTTTGAGCTCTCTCCCTGTATCAAAGGGCACAAATTGAATAAACTGGTTTAGACGTGAAATACCTTTTCCATGGACTCCTGGGCTCGTTTTTGACCCTGGCAAGTTCAATTGTAGCAGTTATTTTAGAATTAAAACCAAAGAAAGGACTTACCACTTTCATATCTTGAAGGATAGGGTTTGAGTGTGTGCGCTTCCATACTCCACCATCCAGGAAACATGCATCCGAAACAATCAATGACCTACAGAATATTTTGGTGTTTAAAATGCTCTGTCAAAAGGAAAATACACTTACTGTTTCCCATTTGTCTCAAGGAACGCGTAGTCCAGGAATTTTACAAACGAATTCAGACGGGCACCACATGAATCTATTAAACTTGAAACTTGGTGTGATGCAATTGCCTCGAGTATTTCTCTGTCATCCGTGACAGAGAACTTCATGGTCAGAGCACCAGGCTTTGAATCTATATTCATCACACGCAACACGAGTTCCTCTTTCAAATTTTCTTTGACCCTTCTGATCCCATCATCTGTGCACTTCATGATTGTTCACGATAGGGTTTCTCCGTGATATCTGCTATATAATGTTCACATTTATCAAATCATTCGCAACGTTGTTATCACTGCCTTGATGCATATGCATTGGTTGAAATAATAAAATTTATTCTTGTATTAGTGGGGAAAAAAGATTACGAC